TTTTTTTTTTTTTTTTTTTTTTTTTTTTTTTTTTAAATGATTCCAAAACTTTCAGTCATCTTTCATATGCGAGCTCATTCTATTACAAATTTCGTTTGCAGACAGCAGCACGGAGCTGTACACGGACAGCACCGGGATAGATTTGGAGCAATTTATCGCCGAGACGATAAACCGCAATCAGAAAGACCGCACGGTGCTGCTGAAGATCGAGAAGGATCTGATCGAGTTCGCGAAGGACCGGCAGAAGGGCTCGCACAAGTTCCCGAACATGTCGTCGTACAACAGGATGCTGGTGCACCGGGTGGCGGCTTACTTTGGCATGGAGCACAACGTGGATCAGTCCGGACTAAGCGTCATCGTCACGCGGACGAAGAATATGCGGATACCGGACACCCGTTTCAAGGAGCACATCAGGGACGACCTGATTCTGTCCGAGGAGCCGCGACGGAGTATCTTGAAACGGGACTCGAGTTCATTCGAGGACAGCTTCAACTTCAAATCGCCGGACAGGCTGTCGGGCGATTACTGCCGACGCAGCAAGAGCTTCGAGGAGCGGGAGGAGGAGTACGAGCGCGCCAGGCGAAGGATATTCAAAGATAGCAGCTGCGAGAGCGGCGAGGTCACGTCCTGGCCGTGGTCCTCGACGGAGAGTTCGGACGTCTCGGCGAGGTATCGCCTGCTGCATCCTTCGGATCACCTGATCAGGTGAATCTTCATTATATTCTAATGAGCAATATTTATATTCGTAGTTGATGATACAAGTTTCACCGAATGCATTTTTTGCGTTCCTGCACAGGCAAAATCGACTCCTGAAGGGCGAGTCCTTCGACGGTAGGGACTCGTTCCGCGGCGCCGTACTGCGCCCCTCTGTTTCTAAGTCATTCAGCTTTGGTGGTTACACGAAGGGCATGCTGTCGCGAGGGGACAGCGTGACGTCCACGCACAGCGCGGGAGCTCGTCTCATGAAGCAAGGTGATATACGCACGTAGTTGCGTCGGAATTGTCGACAAAAATTTCGCTGACGGTGCCTTTGCGAACGGCCATTATTCTGCCGACATCGAACGTATCAAGTTTGTCGACGAACGAACGTTGCGAAATCTTTCTCGGCGATGTCAATGTAACAATATACACCGCGATATTTCTGCGTCATTTGTCGCTTTTGTTTATTGCTGCTCGTCGTTCTCACGCCGTAAACATATTCGCAGATTCCGGGGCCAGTATGTGTTCACGTTTGAGCCCGAGTCGCTCGAGCAGCGGCTACAAATCGCAGAGCCAGCGAAGTGACGCGACGATATCGCCGTCGCCATCGCCCTCGCCCGTGCCAGCCGCCATGACGTGCAGCCACACTCAAGTATCTAGTCAAGACTTAGCCTCGCCGGAGTCAAGCGGCGGCCAGACGGTTATGTGGGCGGTCAGCAGTTTATCGAGCGTGCCGCCTGGCAGTATAATAATAAATCCGCAAACCAATCAGCCGTACACGAACGCAGACGGCTCGATCTACCGTTACGATCCGGACAATCCGCCAAAGTTTTTTAATATCGAGAACGAGAACAACAACGCGGTGCCGTCCGCGACCAGCAAGCAGCAACAGCAGCAGCAGCAGCACGCGGAAATACCTCCCGAGCCGTCGAGAACGACGTGCGGCAATCCCAAGGGCGACGGCAAGAAGCAGCGATCATCGCAGTCGAAGATGAACGCCGCCGGCGCGACGTCCGGCACTCAAGTGACGAACACGGCAACGTCACCGAGCCTGCCGTTCACGCCGCCGCCACCGCCGCCGCCGCCTCCTCCTCCCCCTGCTCCTGCTCCGCAAAATCCGCCTATTCCGCAACAGCAGGCGCAGCACCAGCAGCAGCCGCAGCCGCAGCCGCAACCGCAACCGCAGCGCAGCAGCAGCAGCAGCAGCAACAAAGTCTAGTCAAATCGTCGGCGACGGTGCAGACGTGTAGTCATACTAACCAAACGGCTCAACAACCGTATGCGAGTTACGTACCTACCTCAGAACCGTACAACCAGGGTGTCTATCCGCCCCACGTGGGGCAACCGGCTGTGATGATGGCGCCTCATCCGACTCAGGGTCAAGCGAGCGTGCAAAACGGCGGTCAGGGGGATGTTGTCTTTCATAATCAGAGTCAGCTCTATGCCAATTACGCGGTACCTGTGCATCAAGGACCAATGCCACAGTCGGGGGTGAGTGTTTCTCGCGTTTGCGAGAATTCTTTTGCAATGACGCATCTAGCGCGGCGCAAAAAAGCAATCAATTGAAAGAGGATTGTATTGTAGTAATTATTGGAAAAACCTTTTGCAATCCATTTTTCCAAGAGCCCAACTGATATCGCGATCGATGTTGTTTAGGACGTGGCCGATTTGTCCGGATACTTTTTGGGAATGAATATCTACGATCAGCGCGGCAGCGGCGACAGCCACACCACGCCGCCGCACTCCGCGTATCCGCAACCGCCGCCATCCACGACTCAAGCCATGCAAAACGTGCAGACGGTGCAGCCGAATTATTGGCAGCCACCACCGAGTCAAATACCAGTACGAGTACCAAACGAATGTTATCCCATTATTTCGCACGTCGCGCGCTCTAACGATAAACGAATCTTTTTCAGCCTCAGCAGACTATGTACTTTGTGCCTCCGCCTGGAACGGCAATTTCCGTCGGTCAGAATCCAGGCGACAGGCAGCAGCTGCATCAGCAACAAAGGTTCCCGACGAATTACTCTTTCAACACGCAAACCATGACGCCTCCGAGCCAAGCAAATTGTACGTCACGCGATTGCTATGTCTCTCTCTCTCTTTCTCTTTGCTTCTCCCTCCCTCTGTTTATCTTATCTACATGATTAATGTATTTCAGCTAATTACGTAGGCAGTTACCCGGTACCCTACAATTCAGTGCCGGCAGTGACCCCGACGCCGAGCGACTATACGTATCAACCTCCAGTCCATATGGTTCCTACGTATTATCCGCCGGGACAACCGACGATTCAACCGCCGCCTGTGATGTACAGAGTACCTACGCCACCGAATACGCCAACGTCCAGTCAGGTGATTGATTTCTCGGCTTGGCTCTCACATTTTCGAACAAAATAATCGAAAGATACGATTAATACGAGATCGAGAAAGCTCGAAAAGAATTTCCATCGATAAAATCCTGTCTGACGATTGCAAACACAGATACCCGGTATGCCGTTGATGTACGTGAACTCGAGCAGCTACGCCGCCCCGGCGATGGTGTCCGGCGGGACGTACGGCCAGGTCGCTCACAACGGCGCTTCGCCAGCTCCGCCCGGCGCGTACATGACACCCACGCTGGTACCCAATCTCGTCTTCAGGCAAAACGTTCCTGTGAGGGTGACACGCAGTAATCATTGTTACTACTATCCGTACTCGCACTGACTGACGAGGGGTGCTTTCGCGAAACAGGTCGTTCCCGGTGTTCGAGCGACGACGCCAGGCAACTCCCAGAGGGCCAGTCGGTCCCCGACCCCGGCGCACGAGCTCTTCGGAGGTGGGAGCGGAGACAGGAGCGCGCAACCTCAACCACGTTACCCACTGCCAATGTATCAGGGTGTCCATATTGTGCAAGGTGTGTTTTCCAAACGTTTTTTTTTTTTAATCGTTTTTCTCTTTCACTGTCGTCTGACCGTCGTCAACTTTGAAACGCCGCAGGAGATATGAGATTGATGCATCCTGGCGTACCTACCAACCCCAGGTTGCAGTATGCACCAGTATCATCACCGCCTGTTGTTCAAGGTTGCCCGCGACCGTACAGGCCGCCTTCTTATTCGTCTAATGCCTCGGGGGCCGGCACGCCGACCTCCTTCGACGGCAGAAATCAGAAGATACGCAAACAGAGGTAGCCTCGACTTTCTCACATTCCATTCCGCATTCCTCTCCGTGTAAATTTCACGTCTCTGGTGAATCTATATCTGCTCGTGCGTTCCAGGTCCAAAGTAACGTCTTTGCCACCGAGCGGCGCGCGGCCCAATTTCTATCAGGCGCCTTCCATGCCGTCACTCTCGTCGAACGTACCCAAAGACATCAGAGAAGGTATGAGAAACTAGCAAAAAGCGTGGAAAAGAGAAAAAAAAAAAGATTCAATGTTCGCTCAGTACGTCGCTTAAGATTTAGTTTACTTTCCGCTTTCATTTCGCTTATGAAGGATAAAGTGTAACACGATTTTGACACATTCTTGTCTCCCCTTAAAAGCGAAACCTGTGGAAGACAGTATGATATAAGGTACAGAAACTTAAGTATAAAATACTTACACAGAACACACGGTGTCTTCTTCGTACGATAGGGGCTTTTTTCATGCGCGTTGATTCATCTTTCTTGACGTTTTTTTCGGTTTTACGATGACGTGCTGGAAAGTAATTCCTACTTCTGCAAATTTTACTGGTGATCGCGCAAGATCGCGGATCACAAATCTCAAAAATTATTGTTACAGAGAGATATTCTAACGTAGAGTACAGATTTATTGGTTGAAAACACTACGGTGTTACGGAAGAAAGAAGGAAGGATATCTTTTCATCGCACACATGTATTTTATTCTTGCACCATACGCTTAAACAGCAACGCGCGCACAGAACAGCAATGGCTATGTTTAAAAAGCACAATGATCGTGCAACCACATTGAATGAGCCCTCATTGAGTGGAAATCTGTTTGCTAAATAATTGTATCTATTTTTGAGGCATAGTTTTCGGCGTTTTCAACATTAATTGCACTAATAATAAACAAATAAATACTCGTTATATATTTGATTTAAAGAACTCTGAAAATATTTCGCATCCTCAAAAATATGAATTCATTATTGCTAGAACTTAATGTAAAAAAATCCGATATTTGAAGTAATAATATTCGTAATAATAAAATTCACGTCAGTTGTACATCTTTTTCATATCTATTTTCTTATGTTTATTTTTTCAACAAGAGCGCTTTCATTCAACGATTGCGTAATCGTTTTGTTTTCTGAACGTAGTCATTCCTGATTAAGAAGAAAAACATTCAGAATGTTCCTGTTCAATTTTTGTATTATTCCTTTGCAAAGAATGCACTTCTCTCAACGTAGTCCGCTTGAAAATTGGAGGGAAACAATTCTGGAATGTTTGTGGATACATTTCGTCACAATGACACTGAATGTATTCTCTGCACACGTTTTTCTCCAACATTTTCGTACACGACACTTACGGTACGTTTACTCTTTTGCTTATTATTCAGATTGACAAGATTACACGAATAACGCCGAGCCAAGCTGACTTTGTCGCAACAAACTTCTCTCATTCTTCTACTCAATTATCGATTAATATACGATTGCTGTACGAATTATTCTTTCTGGTGAAACATGTTTTGCTTTTACATATAAGGCTTCTTCTGCTGAGTTACACTTAACGTACTTGTGAATACGTTTTCTTTTTGACATCTGTTCAGTTGCATCAGAACGATTCACTCGTATTACACGTCGAGGAAAGCGGGCGGCCTCCGCAATCCGCTCTCAGAAATGACGTTTCTTTCCAGGAACAGTGAAGGTGACGATCACCCGTCGGAATCAGCTGGTGCAGTTCTGAGCGAAACGAGCCGGCAGGACAGCAATCGGGGCTTCGACATCGCCCGATAACGATCGGCGGCAGCCCATTTTACCGTTCGGAGATACGAGATGTATTCCTAACGCTACATTTATTACCCTAAATTATTGAAAAGAGAGTCAAGAGGAACGCTGTTAAGATATAATGTGCGCGCGTGTATTCTAAGTGAAAAAGTGTGGGGGAAGTGACAATATGCCGTACCGCGGATTTTTTTTTTTTTTTCTTTTTCTTTTTTTTTTTTCTCGGATAACACGAAGGACGAAATTTGATTCTCACTCGGGCGGCCTTTCGCAGCACCGAGCGTATCTGAATTACCATGACAATGCGGAAGCGCGGGCGCAAGGAAAGAGAGACACAAGACGTTATCGCACGCGCGGCGTTTCCCAAGCGTGAAGAACGAGCGAATCACCGGTGCGCCGGAGCAAGAGTTACTGGACAAAATTTTAATTACTACTACAATACATTATTATACATGTATGTGTATATACATGTACATATGCATATGTACACAGTATATATATAATACTTGAAGATATTTTAACTGCGGTTTTACAGATACTATATGAATGTGAGATTTACTTTTAAGAAGCATTATACCGTTTAAGATCAAGCACACACACACACACACAAACACGTACACAGACACACAGACACGCGAATTTCCCGAGGCGGTCATCACGCGGCGATCTCCGACCGCCGAGAGAATACGATGATGTAAGCTAATATACGAAGAAAAAAAACAAAAAAAATACACTTTACTGAGTACGTTTACAACGCACGCGCGAGTCTCTTCGGCTCGGCTTTAATTGCAATTCCAAAGAAAAGAAAAAAAAAAAGAAGAAAGGGATATTCTACTATCTGTCTATCCGCTAAATATTTTGATAATACGCGCTGCCATCGCATCGGTCAACGAATGTTGCGTTAAACGTCGCTGCCCATTCCGAGTCCATTTTTTGAACAAGTTGTTTGCTACCTCAGCGTAACGTCTACGAAAATTCTAAAAGTTGCCGCTCGCGCGTTGGCGACGCCGGAGCCCTTTTACGCTTTTCCCTCTTTCTGCCATGTATACGTGAACGTTAAGAAAGAAAAAAAAACCTTTAATATACACACACTTCGCAGAACGTTTACATATAATTTGTTACGAACATGTACACTCGAGTCCCAAACGTTTCCTATTGTGTTTTTACGAAACGCCGTCTCGATTTTGCAAGGATGGAGGACAAAATTATAAGAAATTATCCGGAGAAATGCGAGTCCAACGTTTTACACTCACACTCAGCAATGTTCAGCTAAGGGATGTATCCGATCGATTGTATTCACAATTCACTTCTACCGTGTGAGTGTCCGTTGATCATAAGTTAAGTGAACATGTAAACGTATTCAGTATCACGGTCTCTATGTCTAGTTTTCGAGCAGTAGTTAAGTAGCGTGAAGCCATCACAGCTTGATTTCGTAAGGCAGCATCTACATCTTCGTCCTCTCCGTAGAGAAAGTAATTATTTCGTTTCCTCTCTTGCGGACAATTTGTTCGGTAATTGATTTCGTCAGTTTACGTTCGTTTGTCGTTTTACCCCGAGAGAGTTCAAGTGCGGGCGGATATTTTTCACTATGATTCGTCTTCCAATATGTGCAAGCACGCTTCGTAGATCTCACGGAATCGTTTCTCTCTTTCTCTCTCTCTCTCTCTCTCTCTCTCTCTCTCTCTCTCTCTCTCTCTCTCTCTCTCTTTTCGTTATCCCAACATCATTGCGACAGGCGTATTTCTCGCGCACTCGTTTCCAACGAAATAGAGGCATTTGCGATTAAGTATGTATAAATATATAACAATATATGGTATTATATATTTATATATATAATATATATTTATATATATGTGTATCGTACACCGCAGTAGCAGTGATGGTGACACGCGGTAATTAATAACGTCTCCGTCTGTGAAAAACTAGGCGGACCAGCGCGGGCAGATCTCGCGGATCACACTGTCACAATCAGCGCGCGGCGTCCTTTTACTCTGCAAAACGCCAACTAAACCGCACTTTCTCCAGCTCTCTCTCTCTCTCTCTCTCTTTCGCAAGATACGTAGAGTCATCGCAAAAGAGTAATCTCGATTCGTCGGTGTGAAGGCGCGAGGGATGCCCGCGTCGCTCCGCGACACAAAACCAAGGTGGAATCCATCCAGAAGCTTCGCTTACGGTGATTGTACTTCAGTAACGTAGGTGAAGGTGTGCCTATTCTTTTTATGACAAGTTAAAAATAAGCGCGACGAACCTATCTATCCACTACCTTTAAAGAAAAAAGAACAGCACGACGGACAGTTATCTTCCTCTTCGTGAAGGAAAGGGCGAATAAAGTAATTTTAACTCCGTTGTTTGAGGAACTTAATAAAAAACAAAAAAAACCAAGAAGAAACGAAAGAGACCTGAGCAGATATTAAGCGAAACAAAACAAAAGAAAAGATAAAAATAACGAATAGGTAGGAGAAACACTTCGATTATAAAGAGATGGGCGCACAACCATAGTATTTAACTGTACCTAACGTCATCGTAGTGGTTAAAGAAAAAGAAGAAAAAAATAAGAATTATCGTACCTATTAAAAGAAAAGCAGTTCACGCATCTCTTTAAGATAATAACGATAAGGCAGAAGAAGAAGAAGAAAAAGCAGAGGAACTTATCGGCCGTCAACACGGAAACCGCCAACCAAGTATCGTCCGACACCTCGCCGCACCGTAATATATTTTGTAGGCGATCGGCATTCATGTGATTCTACTAAAGTAACGAGCCGATAGAGATCGGGGGGAGGGTGGGGGAAAGAGGGTGGAAATCGTACCCAGGAGATATGCTGGCGTATTGCAATGTAGTGTGGTACGATATCGCGCGGACGTTACTTGTCGGGCCGTCGCTTCTCTTCTTTCGCTGTAGAGCGCCGGCGCGCGGACGTAGTCGCGCGCGAAAAAAACGATCGCGTTCAAACTCACATCTCCCCGTTTTCGTTTACAACCCCGTCGGCGTTTCGCGAATTCGCCGCACCTGTTTCGGCATCGCGATGCAGATTATTTAAGTCGCAAGTTTCGCGCGCGTAAATTTGAAGAACTCTATTTACAATTGCTTCGTTATCGTTATATAAATATATACACAGGGTGATTCAAAATAACCTGATGTCCTTGCAATGCCATATTCTTGAGCGAATTCTGAGACGATTTTTCCTTTTACAAAATTTTGTCCGAAGCTTAGTTTTCGAGTTATAATTGAAAATAGGTAGCAACTTACGAGTTCGATACAACGGGCAGGCAGGGACGCGCAATGTATAAT